GAGAGAGAGAGAGAGAGAGAGAGAGAGAGAGAGACTCAGCAACACTAGAGACAGTGGTACAGTAGCAAAATGTAAGGGGAGCATAGGACAGATTAGACTATCTGGAGTGGATGAGGAGGAGTTTCTGTCTGTGATGGAGCCAGCCAGCCATTCCACCAAACACCTCTACTGAAACGTAACTGCTGCTACCCCAGATCACGTCTTAGCCATCTCACTTCCTGATGCAATCCAATCCCTGCAGTTTTTCCTACCGTAGCTCAGGGACGGGGTTATCAATAAAGACTGAATACAACAAAACAATTTAAAGAGGTATGCTTCCTTCTAATTGCTTTTAATTGACACAAATAAAACATAACCTGCCACTCCAGATTTCCTAATCTAATAACTATCAATGTCACTGGGGAAGCACAATGAGAATGCTTCAGTAAAAGGAGATAGAGGCACAATGACATTTTGAAGTGACCCAACACTTGGCACCCAAACAAGCCTCCTTAGGTAGAGTAGGGTCCTGGAATCACACCATCTAGCTGAACATGGAAACTTTACGTTCTTACAGACCAAATAGTTACAACACCCTGTCTGACACCCTGCAGGAGGTGAGAAACAGTACCGTTCAACAGTGCAGTTAGGGCTGCGCTCTTACCTATTTCATCTACAACTTGAATCATTTTTTCTAGTTCTTCTGGACAGATATCAGGGCAATGAGTGAAGCCAAAATAAATCAATACCCACTGGCCCAGGTAGTCCTTGTCAGTCTTGGGCTTGCCATCATGAGTTACGAGGGAAAATGGTCCCCCTAGTAAAGGCTTTCCGATGCTGCGATGCCGCTGCTTCTCCAGCTCTTAAAGAGATACACCCAACAAGTCACTGAAACATCTGACAGAGAGTTAGCATAATACTAGTAACAGTATGTGGGTGGAGTGGGAGGTAGAAAATAAATATATCAGCTTTCAAGACACTAACAAAAATATTGTCAGAAAAACAAGCATAAAATAAGAAAATTAAATGCTGTAACACATGGTAAGCACTGGAATGAGTGGTAAAAAGTGTTCTCCTGGAACAACCCAGCACTAAGATGTTCAGCGTGGGGGTGAGGGCTGGGTGTGCTAGAGGCAGCCTCAACGGAAAGGGAATGTTGATAGGACCTTAGTTTTATATAGAAAATTAAATAACAAAGCAAATAAACAGGAATAAGTGTTACTAATGGAAAGCCAGAACAATGGGCGGGAAAAACTGGAATGATCTCTGTAGTATTAAGACAATCAGAGGTACTGGTATAACTTGATGGTTTCCATATATAGGAATTCTCCAACGAAAAGGGAAAAGTTGTTTTTGTTGTTGAGAAATGCTGAAATAAGCTGAAACAAATAAGTTCAAGGAGAGCCGGTGGCAGAAGGAAAAGCCAAGGATGACTGAAAACAGGTCCTGTGTGAACAGCAAGTTCTTGTTTCCGGTTTCATCTCTGACACTGTGATAAAATAGTCTGTCAAAACAAACTCAGGGTGCTGGCGCCCGCCTGTAACCCCAGCACTCAGAGGACAGGGTCTCTGTGAGGTGGAGGCAGTTCCAGAATTGTCAGGGCTACACAGTGGGACCCTGACTCAAAAACAAAAATACAAAACAAAACAAAAGAAACTCGGATGAGAAAGGGTTTATCTAACAATTCCTGGTAATAACCCATGTGTGGGGAAGTCCGAGTGGGAGGCCCGCGCAGGAACTAGTCATATCACACCCACAGTCTAGAGGAGATAGAAACTATGCGTGCACAGTTTAGCTAGCTTTCTCTATTCTTACAAAGTACAGGGCCCCAAACCAGGAAATGGGCTGCCTGCCACTTTCAGGCTGGGTTTTCCCCAAGTCAATTAGGGCAATCAGGAAAATTCCCACGGTGATGTATGTTCATAGGCCTACTCCTAAAATTCTAATGCCTGTGCATTCTCACTCCTGTATTCTAACATTCCTCTTTATTAACAGCATCAAGAAACTCTAAATAACTCTTTTAAACAATATTTACCCAAATTTTTAAACCAAATCTTAAAGTCTTAGAATATCCAGTAAAACATAGTTTGTTTTCTTTTAATCCTGTCAACATTTTGAGATGGCATTTCCTAGTAGTTCCTGGCTTTCCCTCCATCACAGGCAGCCTGTTCCTGTCCACTGCTGCCCCCCTAACTGGTCTGCAGTACCTACTCTCCATGCCTGACCTCTAGGAAGTCTTCGCAGATCCCACTGTCAAAGGCCCTCACATACCCTGCCCTGCCCTCCAGCCTGGAAGAACGCCACCCAGTGAAAGCTTTGGTTTCTGTGTCTGTCTCCTTGTCAACTGTATTCCAACCGCTGGGCATCTCAGTCATCTTTGTACCCACCCTCGGGACTTCCAACTGCCCACATCCAACCTATTTACAGCTGTCTTTTCAACGATAAAGCAGCGTCATTTTGGATTCCATCCTTGAAAAGTTAAAGACAACGATGGAAAAATACGCAAAACTAATTAAATGCTTGCAGTCCGGTTAATTATATCAATTTTAATTTCTTAGTTGTCCATGACCATATAAAATGTCAACAATGGGAGAGGGTTGGATGAAAGGTATTTGGAGACTTTTCTTTGCCATCTTCACAACATTCTAAATTAGTAAATCTAAAATCATTTTTAAATTAAAAAAATTAAAAACAGGGCAGGGCAACAGCCCAGTAGATAAAAGTGTTTGATATAAAAACCTGACTTCAGGAACCCATCATAAAGTAAAGAAGACACTAGCCCAGTAGATAAAAGTGTTTGATATAAAAACCTGACTTCAGGAACCCATCATAAAGTAAAGAAGACACTAGCCAGGCAGTGGTGATGCATGCCTTTAATCCCGGCACTCAGGAGGCAAAGACAAGCAGATCTCTGAGTTTGAGGTCAGCTTGGTCTACAGAACTAGTTCCAAGACAGCTAGGGCTGTTACACAGAGAAATCTTGTCTTGGAAAGAAAAAAAGAATACACTAGAACCAACTCCCAAAAGCTGTCTTTTGGCTTCTGCCATGGCATGCTTGCACCTGAACTCATATACACACACAAGTATAAATAAACAAAATAAAAAGTTCAAAAACAAAAAAAAATAATAATGTCCAAAAGAATGACTACTTACGTTCTATCTTTTCTTTCTTGAAGTACTTCATTCCAGCCAATAAAGATCCTCCAATGGCAAAAGTCAACGCTAAAGACTTCCAAGAAACGGGCTACTGGGGCAGAGAGTGCAACCAAATAAACAAGTAAGATGCAAACCTTTAACCATGCTTACCTATTACAAAGTTTTCCGAGCACGTATATGCACACAAACCATTTTCACACACATTGAATGTGTTAGGCTACTTTGGGATACATCCTGAAAATTTCTGTGAATACAGTTATATCTACTACAAAAGCCCTCATTTCCAGGGCAAAGTTAGTTACCCAAGCCAATTTAAAAACAAAGTATGGGAGGAAGATGGAGCTCAATTAACTGGTGGAGTGTTTGTTTGGCAAGTACCAAGCCCCTGGGTTCCATGCCAGGCACTGCATAAAACCGGGTGTGGTGATGCACACCTGTAATCTTAGCACGCTGGGAGGGGAAGGCAGGAGGATCAAGCTCAAAGGCATTCTTGGAGAAATAGCAAGTTCTACGCCAACCTGAGATACGAGAGACCTGGTCTCAACAAACAGCGCAGAGCCAGTAACTGATTACTACTGGCTCAAGCTGCTACTGTACTCTTTAAAACCTAAAATGTTTGCCACCTGTGCCTAAGATTTGCCCCGCTCCCCAAGTCCACATTTCTTACTAGCACGAGCAAGGCAGAGGCTCTGAATTTGAGATACAACTAGAACGAGAGGAAGATAAAAAGGAACAGAAGAGAAAGGGAGGAAAAAAGAAGAGGAATACCCAAACGCAACAGAGGCCCACATTTTTGCTTCAATTTCAACTTACACAATGAAGCATTGAAGGGGGAATTCAATTCAGTGAGATTATAAAAGTGTTCTGAATTTTGAATCATGATAAAGTTGAGGTCCTTAAAACCTGGGTTTTTTTTTTTTTTTTTTTGGTCTGGAGCAAAATCCCGGGCTGTAATGGCGCGGAGGGTGAGTAAATTTCTCAAGTTCTTTCGAGGAAGGGACTACGGGCTGACTAGCAACCAGTTCTGCCAAGGATAGGACTACCGGCGGACCAGGAAGCAAAGTGACTCCATGGCCCTTTCAGGGCACGCCAAGGAGTTCTGAGGTTGTGACCTAGCCGGATGTAGAGATACCGGGCTGCAGAGAGCAGTGAGTCCGGAAGGCTCCATGTAAACACTCACCCCGGGCTTCATGCGGCGCGACCCGGCTTGGCCGCCCTTGGGCTCTGGTCCTTTCGCCCCCGGCGGTGGCGGCGCGGCGCTGAAAGCCCGGATCCCCAGGCAGCAGCGCGCCTCTCGGGGCCACGGACTCCCCACCGGACCCCAAAGCTCATGGCCGTGAGGGAACAGACGCCAGAGCTGGCGACACTGCGGTCGCATCCCCATACAGTAAGCCCGCACCAACGCCGCCATGAGTTTAGGAGACCACGCCTCCTTTGGGCCGCCCCGCTATTTCATCAGGAGCTTCCGCTTCCGCAGGAAGCCGGGTGAGGCCGCTCTTTCCTCTCGGCTCGGTGGAGATGCAGTTTACCCGCGGGTTGTCAAGGAGTCCGTGGTTGCACAGCTGCCAGCGGTAGGTACTTCTCTGGCTGGGAACGGGTGGTGCGGGCAGTAGGCGGCGTATCTTGGGCGGGAGTGCTTCTGGGTCCTGAGCTGAGCCTGGCGGCTGCTGGAACATCCTTGGACAGGAGGATGGGACAAGGTGGCCCCGGGTCTCCTAGAGGGGTTCGCCCCTCCCAGTAAGAGACTGGGGATCCCTTCCTCTTGCTCAGTCAAAAAACGGGCCAAGTAGAACAGCAAAGACTCGGACCCCACAATTAGAAGTCGTCTCATGGCATTTGAAGTAATCCATGACTTAGGGGAAAAAATACTAATAAGACTTTGGGTGCCTAGGGTGATGAGAAGACTTAAGACCAACGTGCCCGCGCTTGTAACTACCGTACAAGCCGCCTTAGAGCAAGGCACTGCAAAAGTGTGTGCTGCGTCATACATACCACATCCATCATTTATCCACCGGATCGTTTCAGTTCCGTCGTTTCCCATAAAGGTCTCGCCACTCCCACCCCCCGACCCCCTATTTTAAAGTTTGTTGAAGGTTTCCTGCTTTGGGACTGCTTAGTTAGTTGGCTACAGCTACATACTTATTTTTCGTTTCTGGAGAAATTTTAGCTCGTATTCCGCTCATTTGCTTGTTGTTATTTGCTGTGCCTGGGCTGGGCAGTTACCGGCTCTCTTTCAGTCTCAGAGTCAGCAACCTTTGCCCCTCCCTTCCCACCCTGCCTCCGTGGTTGCCTGGGGTTTGTAAAGCAACAGCCCCTACCCTTTAATAAAAGCTTTTTTTCCAACCCCAGTGAGATCCCATCATTGCTTCAATAGTTGTTGCATTAAAGCGTGATATTGTTTATCTCTATGTTTATCTCAATGTTTGGACCGTCTGACCTATTGTGCTGCTGTCCAACACAGCAATTATCTTCTGAAATGTATGCTCAAAGCTAATAGTTGTTTTATTTTGTTTGTTTGTTTGTTTAAAGAAATCATTGTTGAAGTTTGTGGAGAGGTTTTTCAAATGTAAAGAACAGTGGTTAATAGAAAAATGGTTAGGAGGAGAGTACACAGCCAAAAGCATGGATGCGGGCCTCTTAGGAGAGTCACACTTGTCTTTATAACATATAAGTGTGTGTGTGTGTGTGTGAATATGTGTGTGTCTTTGATTTGGATGGCTTCTGAAGGTATATCTCAAAAGACTGTCTAACATATTTTCACTTTCATTTTCCTGGGAAATGAGATTATAGACTGGCTACGGCGGTGCACTACATAGAATTACACAAAGGCCGTGAGACGTGTTTAGTGCAAATAAAGTTTATAGTCTTGTTTGTAAAGTTTCCAGAAACTGTAGCTTTGTGTCTGGGAAAGGAGCAGGACCGTACTCCAAGGTGATAATCGTGCTTAGGCCTTAAGCATAGTTCATTGCTGTCTTAACATTATTTGAAATCTCTATATAAAGGGAATATTGTTCCTTTGTAGGCAACTGTCACAGCAGACACTATTAATAGTGGGAAAACTCTGACTCTCAGCTGACAAGGGACTCCAACCCAATCCCTTTCCATGTCTCCTACCTCATTTCCCCTCTGAGACTTTGATCCCTTGATTTTAAGAGTTAATGGCAGTTGTAGTTGGTGTTGGTTGTATAACTTATTTGCTGGACAAGGATATATACCCTGCCTATCCAGCCTTCAGCTGTCTCAAGCTGTCTCGTCTGTATAGGATGAGAGGGAATCTGAGCATGCAAGATCATCATTCCACGGGGAGGTAGATGAGAGGATGTCATTACTCGCCACACCTAACCATGGAAACAATAAGGATTGTTACACCTGGTCCTAAGATTAGCACCGAAGTAACCAGGCCTTTAGCCACATGGTACCTGAGACCTGTGATGCTAATGAATCATTAGAACTTGCCACAAAACCCTACAGTGATTTAACTGTGGTGTGTAAATCTTGGAGGATTGAGGATACATGTCCTGGTTGTTGGTATATATACCCAACACTTTAATGGTGGCGCAGGTTCTCCTTGTGCTATTGACAGACTACCAGGGGCCATCAGAGTGACTGTCCTCATCTTCACTTTTGAGTTAAGAATTGGCAGAAGTATACACCTGATTATCTACTGAGAGTATGGGAAAATACAAAGAACAATGCTAGAAAAGTTTTGAAAATGTGTGTGTGCCTATGAGTGCAGGTGCCCAAAGAGGCCAGAGGTGACAGATCCTCTAGAGTTGGAGCTCCAGGTGGTTGGGAGCCACCTGACATGGGTGCTGGGAACTGAACTCATATCCTCTGCAAAGACAGTCTTCACTCTTTAATTTCTGAGCCATTGCTTCTGTCTATGGATTCTTAATTTTTCTAAAGACTTATTTTGTGTGGATGTGCCCTATCTGTGTGGTGCCCTCAGATACCAGAAGAGGACTTTGGATCTCTTGGAGATAGAGTTGCAGCAAGTTGTGAGTCACTCAGTATGGTTGCCGGGATCTGAACTGTTTCTCAGGAATGACCAGCAAACAAACTCAACTCCTGAGCCATCTCTCCAGCCCCCAAGAAAGATTTTAATGATTAAGATGATTACGTGGATAAAAGGGCAATAATGTAAAGTTGTAGCTATTAATTATGTATTATACCAACAGCACCCAGAAGAAAAACAGTGATGCAAATCGAGACACAAAGTAAGGTTTCAGTTACTGGTAGATTTTTAAAATGGGGCTTAGCTTTGTTTTTAAGAAGGTAAGCATTTTTCTCTCTTGTCTGAAAAGAGCTTTCATGTGTTCTCATGCTTTGCAGAAACAAGAGATCTTTTCGTGGGGTGCTCTTGAAGCAACACTACATTATGGACTGTCCCTTTGCAGCTGCCAGGAAAGGCGGCAGCCCCAGTGGGGCAGGAGCAGGAAGCAAAGCTTCTTGCTGCTACCTCTAGCCGGCTCAATCACTCTCTTTAGAGTCCTGTGCTTGGGTGAGGCGAGGGTTCTCAGCTGCAGAAAGGAGTTTCAGGATGAATCAGTATGATGCGTATTTGGAGTTTATTACGACATTTTATAGATTTAAGCCTGATGTTAATAGGAAAGAGGTGCTTACGAGAAAGAAAGCCACAAGAGCGTGGGTGTGGACTTCTCAAGAGAGTAGTGAGTTGTTAAATTTCTACTGGGCATTTCGGCTTACTGTCAGTCAAAACTCATTTTTTCCCCTCCATTTTATTTGTTTACCAAAATATCTTTATCTATTGGATGTGACACTGTATTTTAATTGTAACCAGATATTGAATGCATCACAGATATTCTCTCTAAGCCAGACTCCGTAGAGCCCTTTCAAAAGTAGCTGGTTGTATAGTGTAAATTTGGAACTTTTATTATTAACAGAAACCACCACGGTATCAGATGAGTTTGCTTACAATTTAGGAGCTTCTCTTGAAAGAGACAGGGCATACATAGTACCATTTGATGCCTGTTTTATCATTAGTTGATGAGGCTACTTAAATTGTGTGCTGGCTGGGGCAGTGGGCTGGCCTAAGTGGGATGAGCTAAACTGGAAGTTTTCTCAGCTTGCTGGCACTGTAGCATGGCTGCTTCATCGTAGGTCCAGACTCTTGTGCCTAATCACTGCTAGGGTCCGAGAAAGGCCCCCAAAGAAGGCCAACAACCACGTATGCAATAAAAAGAGAGCTTTATTGATTCCAACGTTGGAGTGGCAAAAGAATGACCCCCAAAGTGACCTACAAGCTCCTTTAAGTGGAGTTAGGGGAATTCCAAAGAGGAGGGACTAATCTAGGTTGATTGGTGAAGGAAAGATTAATATGGAGGTTGACTGGTGGAAGGTCCTGGTGGTTAGGGACCTTCCAGCAGCAGGGTGGGGAAAGCTATCGTTAGCCTGCGCAAGTTTGCAAGCATCTCCTGAGCCAGCACAAGGGCTTGTGGGAGTGCTTGCTGATGGTCACCCATAAGTTATGGTTTTCATGAGACCTGCTTGCTCAGCTCTGTCCCACTCTAGTGAAGTGAAACTAAGGTCTGGTCTCCGTCAGGACTGTGGTCGGCTGCCCCTCTCCCCTTCCAGCCTTTTCAGTCACAAGCATGCCCTGCCTCACACTTTACCGTATTGACACTAACATTGTGAAATACTTTTCTTTGAGTGTTGTGTGGGTGTTTTGTGTAGATAGGGATTGCGAAAAAGTTCAATTTGTTCCTTATTCTCCATTTCCCCACTGGAGATGGATTTGAATTTCTGGTCTCTGTCCACAAGCCCTCTTGCATCTATTTCCCTGAACCATGAAGCACAGCCCAGAACTAGCCGAATAATTTCTCTCCATGCGTAGTTCTCTTTGCCCACCCTTACTCACTGTGATCCTAACCGTCTCTCCATGAATGTAGCCTGGCCCTTGCACCTGGACTCTTAGCTTTTCCTTAAGGGGTCACAGGTAGAGCAGAGACGCTCATGGGGATAAGAGACAGGTACCCAGGCCTTCACTCATTACTAGCTACCCAGGGAAAGTAGTCTGGCTCTTGTTAGTAGTGTGTGACCCCCCCCATCTCCCTTATCCCCTTCTTCCCATTCTGTCACGAGTTAAAAAACAACAGCGGGTACAGGACCATACAGTGGCATCTCTAGAGAGGACTGCTCGTTGATCTGTGTCTTATACAAGAAAAGGATCTCTGAAGACACATAAGACAGAGAGTTTTGCAAATGCCATCATTGTTGTCACTGGAATCTGAAGTTTCCGTTAAAACCAGGAGACAGAAATTGGTGGAAGGAAATTGGTTTACGAGGGGTAAGAGGGTGGACAGTTAGATGTCAAAGCTTTTAAGAGATACAAGTAGCCGCACCAAGATAATGTGTAATTATCCCCTGGACCGTGCAACCTTTTTCTTTGAAAGTCAGAGCTGACCCAAAACTTGCGGGGAATTGGCACTTGTATTTCCTTTTTAGAGGCTCTGTTTTTCTGCCCGTCAGCCCATGTGAGTTGAGGACAGAGGCTGCTGATAGAAACACCCATAGAACTCAGAGTGGCAGGTGAGAGGGGGTGGGTCTGTAGAAGACAAGCAGAAGTAATTGCTTGCAATGCTTACATTGCACATCAAGGCAGCTCCAAAGGGAAGAAAGACAAGCTCACTCTGTTAAATAGTTCCCGAAAAGAATGCTAAGTTTCAGGTCTAGTACATCGTGAGTAGAAGGAACTGCCAGACCCAGCACCTCTCATGCAGCCCAATAAAATTTGCTTCTCCTTCCATAGGCTTGGTCCTCATCCTTTTTCCTTTCAGGTAAATCTTTTGCCTGCCCCTCCCCCCCATACACACATAACTTCTCTTATTATTGAGGTCGAGGATCCCTTGTGTCCAGTATCACCAGTCTGATTTTTTGTGTTTTCTGTTTATTCAAGATGATTTAGTTAATAACACTGTATATTGCCTCCCTTTCATTGTTCAAGGGTGGCTTTGAAATCATGATCCTCCTGCATTGGCCTCCAGAATCCAGGGTTTACAGACATTCATCATGGGAGCTGGCCTTGCCTTACTTATGAAGGTCGAGGATGACTTGGGGCCTAGGGTTCACTTTTTTTCACCATGTGGGTCTTAGGAATTAAGCTCAGCTCATTAGCCTTGACATTTAGCAGTACCTTTACCCAGTGAGCCACCCAGTGCCAGCAGTCTCAGAGTAGGAGAGCCCCTCGTGCTCCTCCCGGCTGAGTCTGGCCCCTGCGCTGAGAACGGAGCAGGAGCCTCTGGTAGGAGTACACTTAACTGGGATTAGATAGGAACTCCAGAACTAGGTGGAACAGGTGGCTGGCGACAGGAGTCAGAAGGGTTTTAGTCAGAGAGTTTTTTAGAAGGTCTTAATCAGTTCAGAGAGAACTGCAGTGGTTTATCTTTCATAGTAAGAACAGTTGATAATTTAGCACCTTGACCTTCTATGTTTGTCATAATCCTTAGTATTCTTGGTTCTTTTAGGATTACATATTCTGCTTATAAATAACCTAGTGAGATTCTTTTCCCAAGTTTAAATGGAGACTGTGTGGAATGAAAAGATTTGTTTTCTGTTCTGGTTCAGGGATGGGGGTTGATGCTAAGATTAGGAAAACTGGTTCAAATTAGAACTCAGCTGTTGAAGGGGGGCCTGCTGCTTATGGAAAGGACGAGTGCTTACGCTGATTTCGTACTGTGTGTATTTTTATTTATTTATTTCTATATATTTACACCCACATATATTTGAGCGGCCAGAAGAGGATACCAGCTCCCTTGTGACTGGAGTTACAGGTTGTGTGAACTTTCTGACATGGGTCCTTGCAATTCTGGTACCTGCAGGAAGCTCTCTAAACCACTGGGTATCTATCTCTCCAGCCCCTGCTCTGGCCTTTTTAAACTCAAAATTATTCTTCTTGGTACTAGTTACTTTTCTGTTGTGACTTTTTAAAAAGTGGTCAAATAATAACCTAAGGAAGAGTTTATTTTGGCTTATAGTTCAGAGGGATAAGAATCTTTTTTATCCGGGCAAGGTAGCACAGCCTTTAGTGCTAGTACTCTGAAGGTAGAGGCAGATGAATCTGTATGAGTTTTAGGCCAACCTGATCTACACAAGGAGCTCCAGGATAGCCAGGGCTACATAGAGACCCTATCTCCAACACCTCCTTCCTCCACCCCATGAGTATGTTGTAGCAGGCAGCAAGCATAGTGGCACAGCAGAACACTGAAAGATTACTACATGTTCAAAGGCAGAGTGAACCAGAGATTTAACTTTAAACCCTGAAAGCCCATCCTCGGCCAACAAGGCTGCACCTCCCCGTAACGCCTCCAAGTGGGGGCTGTACATCAAATTCCCAAGCCTCTGGGGACATTCCTCCTTAAACCATCTCCTTCTCTTTTCATACCACTGTCTTTCCTTCTACTCCAGACACAGAAAAGGGAGAGACTGATTCTCAGGCTGCTCATCAACAAAGAGAAAAGACTCGGCCTGCTCGAGTGTCCCAGAGTGGAGGTCTGCTCTGGAAATGGAGGGGATGAGTGTGCATGATATGGGATAGTGCCACTGCTGGGTTCCGGGGAATTGTTTGACTTGGGAGAGGGTGTGTCATCGTATTTTAAATGGGTGGGAGGTGAGAAATGGTTCCAGATTTGAATTTGGCTGTTGTAGTTGTAGTTCCTGATGGTCAATAAGATAGTGCCCTTTTGTAAGTTGTTAGTCTTCTGAGCAACAGAGGTTATCATCTTTTTACCGATGAGAACTGAAGCATTTTAGAGCTAAGACTTTGGCCTCTAGAGCCTGCACACTTGTCTGTCTTGCTGTCTAGTCAGTTAACCTGTTATGTCGTTTTCTTCTGTCCATTGGAAAGCTGCAGTATTTTAACTTGAATATCTTCTCCCTCTTGGTAGCTTACTTAGAAGCCTGCTTGGAGGTAATGGCTGAGAAGCTGGACCCTGATGCCCTGTCCGAAGGTTCCGAGCCACTTTTTTCCTTTGGAGTTATAGCAGATATTCAATATGCTGATTTAGAAGATGGATTCAATTATCAAAGAAGCAGGCGGAGGTACTACAGACACAGTCTCATTCACTTACAGGGCGCCATTGAAGACTGGAATAAAGAAAGCATCCTGCCCTGCTGTGTGCTCCAGCTTGGAGACATCATCGATGGCTACAACGCACAGTATAAAGTATCGGAAAAGTCTCTAGAAGTTGTCATGAACACATTCAAGTTACTTAAAGCCCCCGTTCACCACACATGGGGAAACCATGAATTCTATAACTTCAGTAGAGACTTCTTAACGAACTCTAAACTTAACAGCAAGTTTCTAGAAGACCGAATTGTGCAGCATCCTGAGACCATGCCATCAGAGAACTATTATGCTTATCACTTTGTACCATTCCCTAAATTCCGGTTCATTTTACTTGATGCTTATGACCTGAGTGTCCTGGGCATAGATCAGTCTTCTCCAAAATATGAGCAGTGTATGAAGATGCTGAGGGAACACAACCCAAATGTGGAGTTAAATAGTCCCCAAGGTGAATTATTGCTTTGAACTGAGAATCTAATACATTGTCTTTAAATTCTTCAGCTACCTTTTATTCAGCAGGAAGATGGATGATTAAGGTAAAAGTTTATTGTCACCATTGTTCAGAGTCAGGATTCTTACAAGCTTGATGTCACATAAATTGGTTATAAGTAACACAAACCTCAGACATTGAGCAGATATTTGAGTGCCCGTTCTGGAATAAGATGGATGGATGGATGGATGGATGGATAGATAGATAGATAGATAGATAGATAGATAGATAGATAGATAGATAGATAGATAACCATAGCAGTAGGTAGGTAAGACAGAAAATAAATGTATACCTAAAATAATCAACTTACAAGGAGGAAATGTCTGTCTTGGCTTATAGGTTTGGGGGCAGGGGTTAGTTCATAGTCCTTGACGTGGTTGCATATGGGCTGTGCTGAAGCAGCATGTTAGGACAGGGAATACAAACTAGAACAAGCTGCTTACTCATAGCCAGGAAGCAGAGTGGGAAAAGAGGGCCTGAGCTCATAGTCTCCCTCATGACTTGACTTCCCTCAAGTCATGACTTGCCTCTAAAAGATGCTACCACCTCCTAATAGCACCACAGTTAGTGACCAAGTCTTCAACACAGGAGCCATATTGAACATTTCAGATCCAAACTGTAGCAGTAAATGAAACAAAAGCAAGGTTGTCTCCCCAGTGGTAACTATGCTGAGAAAACAGTTTGTTACAGCAGAGAACTAGGGTTGCTGTTGTAGATAGGTGAGCAGAAGCGCCCTGTGAACTCAGGTATTCAAACTGTTGTCTAGATGACAGGATTTACACTTGGAAAGAGTTGGGTAGGAAACTGGCAGGCACAGGGAGACACAAATGCAGGGGCACTGGGTTGCATAATGACTTTGACATTATTAAGAAGCACAGGATCCACTGGGTGAAGGTGACAAGTACAAGACTGTGTAGTAGGGCCCAGTAGACCCAGAAAGAAAGGGTTGTATTTTCAGTGTCGTGGAAAGGCAGTGAAGTAAGCAGAGGAGGCCAAGACTAGAACTCACATCGCTGTATTTATGTATTGCTCTACATTCTGAAGATGGTGATCAGAAGAACGTGTTCTTTATGTTACTCAAACTCAGATGTGCAAATGAGGGAGGGAATGACATGCGATGGGTCTAATTTGCTGAATTCATTCAGGACTTTCTGAGCCCCAGTATGTCCAGTTTAATGGAGGATTCAGCCAAGAGCAGCTGAACTGGTTGAATGAAGTTCTTACGTTCTCTGACCTGAACGAGGAAAAGGTGGTGATCGTGAGTAAGTATGTAAACTGTTTCTTTGGTTACAGTGGCATTTTAGAAACTGGGAAGTTATCCATGAAGGAATAGTAATATTCCCAACTTTAATCAGTTTTCTCAGCTGCAAATTGGATCTGGCAGCCTTGATCTCCAGAGGTTCTTTAAAGTCCCCTGCACTGTTTTTGTTCAGTGATGTTTTTATGTAACACAACCCCTGGGCAGCTCCTAACCATTTTTGTTTGTTTTGTTTTGTTTTGTTTTTTTGTTTGTTTTGTTTTTGTTTTAAGCTTCATCATTCTTTTTATGTAACATTCCTATTTACTGATATCAGTGAGATTGGATTCCAGCACAGAATCTGGCTGACTCCTGGCTGCCCTTACAGATGCCCGGCACAGGATAGCCTGGGGATTCTGTGGGCTTCGGACATCATTTTTTATACAGATGTCTTCCACCTTATATCTGAACCAGCTACCCATCTGTCTGTTCTGTGTGCCGGAGATGTGGCTATAGGTTGCCCGCTCCACAGCTCAGTCTGGCTTTGAACTCATGATCCTCCTCCTGCAGCTTCCTAAGTGCTGCACACTTATATTATATATTATAGAGCACATTGCCACCTTGGTCTTCATGTGGATGAAGAAGGATCATACTTAGGTTTGGTTTTCCCGAATACTAGCTTTCAGTCTTTTTTTCTTGATTTAATTGGCTTCTAATTTTTCTTTAACAGGCCATCTTCCCATTTACCCAGAGGCCTCTGACAGCGTGTGCCTGGCTTGGAACTACATGGATGCCCTGTCAATCATATGGTCTCACAAGTGTGTGGTGTGTTTCCTTGCCGGTCACACACATGACGGTGGTTACTCTGAGGATTCTTTTGGTGTGCACCATGTCAACCTTGAAGGAGTTATTGAAACAGCTCCAGATAGCCAGGCCTTCGGCACAGTTCACGTCTACCCTGACAAAATGCTTCTGAAAGGGAGAGGCAGAGTTCCAGACAGAGTTATGAACTACAGAAGGGAGCAGGTTGTGTGTTTGTAGCCTATTATCTTGCCTGTCTTTGTAGAAAGAGAATATTGCTGTTTTGTGTTTACTCAATTGCATAAAAAGTTAAACTCTCACTGGGGGTGGTGGCGCACGCCTTTAATCCCAGAGCTTGGGAGGCAGAGGTAGGCAGATCTCTGAGTTTGAGGCCAGCCTGGTCTATAGAGTGAGTTCCAGGATAGCCAGGGCTATTAACACAGAGAAACCCTATCTTGAAAACAAACAAAAAAAGCTAGATTCTCAGTCCCTTTCTTAAGTATTCTGTTTGTGTACAAAATGAATTTGTGGCTTTCAATATGTGTGAGTGAGGATGAAATTCAGAAGTGTTGTTTTTAGACAACATATCCAAGCCCCAACAGCTAGACCTAAAGTAAACCAGGAAGGAGACTCACGGGCATATAGTCTGATAAGGGACTGTATGCAGCCTAATTTGAATTTCTTCTTTTTTGTGCAAGGAGTGTGTGCACTTGTGTTAACTCTAGAGCTTCATACATGAAAGCCCAGGCAAGTCTGCCTTGCTTCCCCGCTGTGTGGACCATTTTAGTTCAGAACACCTATACTTAGATAAAGGTGACATTCCTGTTCTCTGAAGAAAAACTGAGAAGTTATTTCAGTGAAAGCATGGTGCTTCCATCTCAGAAGGGCCTTCAGGAAAGTGCTAAGTAACACGAGGACCAAGTGCTGAGTGCCGGCTAGCCTGCTCTGTTTGAAATACCCAGTACTCTGTGGGACCACACCCTATAAAATGGTTTATTTTTTACTTCTTCTCTAGACAGATGGAGCCCATTTAACTCCATTTTTGCTTGTATCAAAGCTTATCTGCAGAAAGTCTTGACAGCAAACAGACCAATGGATGAGTAGAGTTGATTCAAGGCTGAAAAATAGAAATAGTAGTCAATGTAAGTACCTGTGAAGTGCTTACCAGAAGACAGGTACATTTTCTGTGACTGCTCCGGTGAATTCTTGGCATAGGTGCTGACCCACCACGTGTATTTGTTCTCAGGTCATTCTAAAGGTCAGGATTCTGAAACCATTTCATCAGGCTGCAAACAAAGTGTTTGTTGGTGGGATGCTCTGGGCAGAGTCCCATTTCTTACCTCTTCCAGCCTCTCCAGTCTAAGCTCCTGTCCATGTCAGGATTCAGGATTCTTTCTTTTCTTTTCTTTTTTTCTTTTTTCTTTTTGTTTTTTTGAAACAGGGTTTCTCTGTAGCTTTGAAGCCTGTACTGGAAATAGCTCTTGTAGACCAGGCTGGCCTCCAACTCACAGAGATCCGCCTGCCTTTACCTCATGAGTGCTGAGATTAAAGACATGTGCCACCACCACCAAGCTCCATGTCAGGATTCTTGATCTCATGTGCAAAGTTCATGTCACAGCGTAAGGCCACAGGGATCGTGACTCTACCCAGCTGGCCACAGCATGACTCATGTGTTCCTGTGTACACTGATGTCACCAGGATGCAAAGAGACATACAAACACAAGTACAAATTGAGAAATTGCCCACCACATATAAAAGGACGAAAAATGTGGAAGAGAAACTTGAATTTAATTTAAAGAGATTAGGGATGACATGGGGGGAAAAAAAGGAAAGAAAAATGGTTTGGATGGGTGGGGAAGATGAGTGAGTGAGGGCTGGAGAGCTAAGGCCTAGGAGGAACTCTTAGTTGCTGAGCTGTGGGTGTGTCTAGAGAGCAAACTGTGATGGGCAAGCATAGGAAAAGGGAGAAGACTGTGGGGCTCTAGGGAAACATTCTGAGAACTGGAATGTTTAATCTGTTATTGATTCTTAAACGCAGTAGAAAAATAGAGTGTAGTCTTTACCCCTCGTGTACCAGTGGCTGCCCTCTCAGTATCATTTCTGAAGCCAGAAAGTTCTTCCTGTGCCATTCAGACCGATGATAGGTCAAAACTAAGTATAACTAGCAGAAATCCAGAAATATCGAGGTACAGAGAAGATTCCAGGCCAAAGTTTGATGCCCACTATTGGTTATGGGAAGGACAAGGAAACAGCACTGGCCAGTGGTTTTTGGAAGTCCTGGTCTGGAAGTGCCCCTGATAAACAGCAAGTGTCTCTGTGCTGAGATCATTCAGTCTTGCCTCCAAGAACTGCAAAAACCCTCATGGAGAGAGTAGTGTAACTGACCAGCAAGACCACCCAAAGCAGGTTGCACAGCACAGAAAATGGACTGACGGTTCCCATACACATCTTATTTATACTGAAATAAAACCATAAATACTCAAAGAAGAGGAAGTTTAGCCTCCATGTTGGCTAGCCTTAACTACAATGACCTGCCTAAAAATAAATAAAAACTATTCCATGGGTAAGGACCAAAGACAAGTACAGACCAAAAGTAGGAGGCATAGATGCTGGGAATGGCCTGAGTCTTACGAGACCTCAAATCTCATCCCCAGTGACAGCTTCCTCCAGCCATGCCACATGTTCTAGCTACCCAAATAGGACTGCCACCTGGGGACCATCCAGGTATATGGGGGCTGTTCTCATCCAAACGTCTGGTTATGGAGTTTCATTCCAGCCTAGATAAACTAGGCTAATTAAACAATCTAACACACTCAAGCAGTCACACTTTAAAAAGTAAATACAGGACTGGAGAGATGGCTCAGTGGTTAAGAGGACTGGCTGTTCTTCCACAGGTTGTGAGTTCAATTCCCAGCAACCACATGGTGGGTCACAACCATCTGTAATGAGATCTGGCGCCCTCTTCTGGTGTGTCAGCATACATGGAGGCAGAATGTTGTATACATAATAAATATTTAAAATAAATAAGTAAATACAATATATTTTATTTAGCTTAATTTATCTCAATTATTTTTCAGCATATAATCAGTATAAAATACAATTTGTGTTTATATCTCTAAACTTTATTGTTTTGTACTGGAGCACACTCCTGACTACACTGTTCCAAATACTTCATGCATGCGCACATACGCACGTCATTCCAAGCACACAACTTTTTCTGGCAATTGAGTACCTGCTTCTAAAAGTACAAAGCTACGAATTTGCTTCTTTGGTCACCCTGCCCACAAGCCAAGTGCTCAGTAAGGTGAGGCTGCTCAGAATGGTGTCACCCTACAGTGTTCTCAGTACGGTCACATCAATATGCGTTAAAAGAACATAGATTTCCATCTTATTTTTTGCTGAGAATAAGAAATTATGATTAATATTCCCTATCCATCTTTTCTATATTCCAAATTAATCTTTTCTATACTTACTTTAATTTCTACGGTTTTCTATTTTCATTGCAGGACAAGCCTACCGTTTGACTCACATGCCCTAGAGTTTTCTGTAGTTCATGTCACTGAGCCAGGGATTACAGTCTTTTCCTGAATTGACCGCAGTGTCCACATATTTCCCAACCTCTGCCCCCTCTCTCTGTAATCACAGACAGTGCTTTGTAACCTGCACACTCTATCTTCTCGGGGTGCCTTTCACATATGTTCGGTTGCAGTAACTAAGGAGCTCTGACACACTACTTTATACACGAGGAAATATCTATCCACCAGGACATTCCTGGTTTTGCACCAGTCACATAGCACGGAGGCTGAATTCAAGCTCAAACTTCTGCTCAGTGCCTGTTCCACTGCTGTGTGAGAAGAGGCCTCTGGAGAATCGGGGCCCACTTCTTATCTGTCCAGTCTTCACGTTGCAGGCGGTCCTGTTAAATTCTCAAGACTTTGAATCATCTCTAGTATTCACTCAGATTTCTTGAAATAAACCGGGAAACTGTCCTATTTCCTGATTTATTTATACCTAATGTGTATAAAATATTGAAAATACTAATTTAAACGCCATTGAATTCATCTAGATGACTGTCTTGCAGTGTGCTGGCCAGGAGGACCGCATCTCCTTGTTTCTGTATACGTAGACCCATGAAATGAGTGGGAAAAGAGCGATCGCAACAGCAATAGCCAAGTGCATTCTTCCACCAACTGGATTCCTATAAAAACAAAACGTATTATAAAGTCCAAGACAACAAATTGCCTCGGAAATATACATGAAGTTTGAATTGGTGAAACATTACATCTTATTAGTTTCCCTTTATTGAAACTAATATTTTGTACAAAATCTTTATATACTTAATCTTGATATATGTTGCAAATGCCTTTTCCCACTCTGTATTTGAGGAATGTTGATTAATTAGATTGTACTAAAATGAGTCTTTTCCTTTTTATTTTTGTCCCCTTGTAAGAAATCTCTCCCTCCCTGAGACTTTTTGCTTGCTTGACGCAGGGTCTTACTGTAGAGCCCTTGCTGGCCTTATATTTGTTATGTAGCTCAGGCTGGCCTTGAACTCATAACAATCTTCCTGCCTCGCTCCCTGAGTATTAGTGTAAGATGTAGCTAGCACCCTGCCCAACTTTTCCAGGGTCTTGAAGACACTATTGCTTTCTCTAGAAATTTTGTTGTTTTGTAATTTTAAATTAGATCAATAATCCACCTGGAAGTGAATTTTACAGTTCTTTTTTTTCATAACAATAAGATCTTTAAAAATAAAGACTTTGCCCTCTGTGCTTATGAGTGAAATTACTATAATTCTATTTTTTAAATGTTTTTGGTAATTTTGTTGTAGAGGTTCTGCCCTCACCACGTGAGTTGGGAAGTGACCCCTCCCTCCTGTTTAGGAGGCATTTGCTAATGGTCAGTACTGTCCCTCCTGTATGTCAGTCTTAGTCAGCTGTGCCAGCCAGGTCTAGAGTTGTGTTGTAGGGAAAATTAAAAAAACAAATAAATAAAAAGTCCTACTTAACAAAAAGACTGAAAAGTGATGACGTAAACTTCCAAGACATAAAGAGGATCCAGCTGAGTGAGGAGGGGCTCGTGGTCCCCTACCCCCACAACAAACTAGGGAATTTACAGTTGTTCTGGGAGGGAGAGTCAGCTTTCTTTAAGGGTGTGGTCCCTGGTAGGTTGGCCATGCCCCAGTGGATGGCCACAGTCCTGGTGATGCCGTTCTGTGATCCCAGCTACTCAGGAGACTGAGGCAGGAGGACTGGAAATATAAGACCAACCTGATAGTGAGTTCAAGGCCAGACAGGGCAACTGAGACCTTGCCTCAACATAAAAAATAAAGAAGTCGGGATATAGCTCACTGGTTGAACAATTGCCTTAGCATGCACAAGCCCTATATTCAGTCTCCAGTACCTGAACGATAAATGAATACATTTTATAAATCAAGTGTAGGATAGGAATCCCCTTAAATGCCTTACAATATTGTTGATAACCTCTTTAAGTCAACTGAATGTTTTCGTGGATTTGTTGACTTCATCTAGGATTTTAAGTACAATGCACAGTTGTATGCAATGCTATCTGAGGACTTGATTCATTAGCTGTGTCGTGTGTTCTCATTTACCCCTAACGTTTCTTTTATCCATGCCTCCTCAGGATCCTGCTCTTGTATGTATACGTAAAATAAATATGTATTTATTTTAGGTCTTGCCAGGGCTTATTCAGGTGATGATTTTAGAGAGTCCTTATTTGGCCTTATTGGTTCTCTTATCTTTGTGTGTTAGTTTTTCATTTAATTGGTTTTTGCTTTAATGCTTATTTCTTGTTTCAGGGGGTGTTTAATTTGATGTTCCTCTAACCTTGAAGCCTAGCTCATTTATCCCAGGCTTCTCACCCCTTCATATCAAATATGTACTTAAATCCAGAACTTACGTCTGAGAGTGGTTCTAAACTGCATTTCATAAATGTTGGAATTACCCTTTCCGTTCCAGGTGTTTCTGATTTCCACTGTGCTTTCTTTTTTGGCCCACATATATTTGGAAGCAAAAATCCTAATTTCCAAATGTACAGCAACTGCCTAATTATATTGTTAATAGTTTCTATGTCAATTACACTATGCTCAGAGAATATACTTTGTAGGATATAAGTTCTTTGAACTATATAGGGGGTATTTTATGGCTGAGCCTATAGTGGTTTTGAAATAATGTGCCTGTGAAAAGAAAGTGGATTCTGCCAGCCGTGTGCATGTGAGCGCGTGTGTGTGTATGCGTGCATGTGTGTGTGTGTGTGTGTATGTGCCAGAGGTTGACACTGACTGTCTTAACACTCACTGTCTACAGCTGTTCTAAGATTTATTTTTATTTTGTGTGTATAAGTATTTGCCTACATGTATGTAAGAGCACCACGTGTGTACCTACCTGGTGCCCCTGGAGGCCACAGAGTATTGGATCCCCCAGCACTGGAGCTATGGACTGTTGTGAGACATCATGTGGGTGCTGGGCATTGAACGCAGGGCTTCTCTCCAAGAGAGAGCAGCGGTGCTCCTAGCTACTGGGGCATCGCAGCCTCACCTTTTTTGGAGGCAGAGCATCTTACAGAACTTAGAGCTCACAGATTGGCTAGGCTGGCTGGCCAGCAAACCCCTAGGACCCATCAGTCTCCAGACTCTTAAGCACTGGGGTTACATGTGTGCACAGATCTACTTGGTTTTACATGGGTGCTGGGAATCTGAACTCAGGTCCTCAGACTTTCACTGCAAGTACTGCCGGCTGATTGGTTGGCACCACGTTGGGCTGCTATTTGTTGAGGACCAGTCAAAATTCCTTCCTGCTACTATCCGATGTGTTTCTCTGTTTTTCCGATATTTTCAATATTTTCATTCACGCCTTCATATTCTTTACTGTACTTCTAATTCCACACCTTTACCTTTACGAGAGGTATTTTTGTCGAGGCTGGTCCTTGACAAAGTGCTTTAACAACAACTGAGCCATCATCTTTCCCCAGCCCCAGATTCTTTCATGCATAATCATGAGTCCTAGAGTGTTCATGAGGTCTAGTTTCTTATTGTTTAAGTAAAACCTATATCTACACTGCCTTTCTTTGTTTGCATTAATGGATAGGAGAAGTGTGCTAATATCTCACAAAGTAATTGTGAAATTTTTTTTTTAACTGCCAACATTTTTGTGGAGGCCTGAAGATAGCATCTGATCCTCTGGGACTGGGTTAACAGATAGCCAGCTATGAGCTATGCTGTGGGTGCTGGAAATTGAACTCAGGTCCTCTGGGAAAGCAGCCAGTGATCTTAACCCCTGAGCTGTCTCTCCCGTCCCTGTGCCCTTGATTTTTAACTGATGGGTTGAACTTACTTTGCTGAACTGTGACACAGTGCCATCCAGGCTGTGATGATCACCAGGCCAGACAGCTCTCTGAAAAACACCATGTTTCACATTATGAAGTGACTGCCACTCCCCTGCTGTATGTCACTAGGAGTGGTACAGCCCTGAAAACAACCTGGGGGCCATTTGTCATTAGTTTTGAGCTTTTAAAGATGCCAGTGCTTTGCAGGGGCTCAAACCAATACAAACTCTAAGCATACTGAGCTAGCTGGGGAAGATTGCAGGGAGAATAAGGGCTTGTAGTGTTAATCAGACTAACTTGAGGGGACTATGTTCATGGAGTTGTGTGTCAGGTGGGTGTGCCTCTTGCATTGACTGAATAAGCATATTGTCACTGCCACTGGGGGCCCCACTTTGAGTCTACCCTGATTCCCGGGCTTCACACTGGAGATGACAATCCACTTAGTATAAATCCCCATCTGCAGACCCAGCCTGGCCACCTCTCCAATTTACATAGGCTAGGGTCCAGAGCAAACCACACCTTGTCAGAGACACC